TAACCTTATATCATAAAAAAATATTTGAATTGTTAACATTTTATCACTGTAAAATTCATTTGTTTCGCACTCTTGCAAAGTTGATGTTCTTTTTTTTGAAATATCATAACGAGGTTAAGAGAGGTGTGCGAAAAAGGATGCATGTAAAGATGATTGTGGAGAAACTGCTCTAACGTTATCAATGCTATCTGCTTAATTAAAGTTGCGCAGACAACGCCTGGCGCTTATACCTATAGGTATTGCTAAATTATCAGAGCTGAAATCACCACTATGATACCAATATCACAACATAGACCGTTGGTTTTCGATAAATATATCTTGTAGAATCATGTTGGCATAGAAATGTAGAAAATCATTTCCTAAAATATATATCCTTTGTAATAAATAACATATGTAATGTTGATAACAACTCTTGATGTTCTTGATATTTATTGATTGTTATTCAGTTGTAAATAAATCATTTTATTCTAAATGAAACTTTAATACAACCCTTACTGAATTATTGAAACACCAATGTTATCTTAATTATGATAACACAGATGAATTATTAATGTTTTGAAAAGAATGTTTACTGTTTACTGTTTTACAATGAATTTTATCTGTCACCTTGCATGAATGCAACTTTTCAAATTCAACAGTCTAATATCACGTGAAACTGTTATGGTGAGCTGTATAAATCTAGAGGGTATCATACTGAGTACTAAAACGAGGTAACATTTCCATGAGATAGATACGAAGTGTGAAAAAAAAAGAAAATATAAGTTGCATGTCGAAGTAACATTTATCACATTTCATCTTTTTGTTGTTATTGTTAGTATCATGTTTATGCAATAAACAGATTTCAGCCAATATGAAATTAAAGTACACACATGTCATATCATGCATAATAGCCTTTCTTTACAATTGTCATATGGAATAACTACGTATTACATTTCTTCAAGCTGGTACAATGACGTCATTTGTATGTGCTGACACATTGATAAACAATTGTACATCTTCTTTTAGAAAAGTGTTGCCAATTTTTAGCGTTAATGTAAATGTCCATGCCACAAAACTCAAGTCAGATAAGACACTTTGTTTCGTATTGTAAGTTTGGATGGCAATTCTAATGCGCTATTATTAGACGAGATTCACACTCAATAAAGCAACTCAAGATGCAAAATATAATATATCAAATTATTTACTGTTTCTTTCTACATGCATTATATTTATTTTTCTTATACATCATCGGCTTGAAGTGACATTTGTCTAATTAATCAAGATTCCTGTCGACATTTGTCGTCTGCTTTTAACACCTTTGTAAACAAACAGATTATACAACATCAATTAACTTAACATGAAAGGAACCCTTATGGGTTGCATTAGATTTATAAACAAAAGCTTGTAGCAGTGTTCCTCTTGAAATAGACATGTATATAAATTTGATTTTTAATCACGACAAGCAAATTTATATACGGATTGTTTATAGAGTCAACCTATTAAATAAATGGTTCTCATATACAAAAAGGATATTGTTTCAATGATTAGATTAAATTCATGCCATTGATTTTAAGTGTTTTAATTTTGAATACCTACCAAAATGAAAAGAAAAGTGAAATAATCCCATTTTTATACCATTTGAATGTATATTTGTAGCATTTATTATATTCATTACATAATATAACAGCGAATATTTGATTCATTAGTACAATTCATCTTTAAAAGTAAATGGTGAATTCACAATGTTGCACATTCCGATGCGTATAATTAGTTTCATGTCTATATTGACGAAAAATGCTATCACAAAAACGTTCACTTGGCATTATTTTGAACAATCAGGATTATCTAAGTTTACTTAGCAAGAATCTCTGTGTTGGTAAATCATAGCAGGTGCAAAACGTAGAACCAACTAGATCAAATTAAATCACGTTTTGTACTATCAATCTTATTATTATTATCTCCTTGTGAATGAAGATTTTCACTGACTTGTTAAATAACTCCTTCAGTTAAATGATTGTTTGAATCATTAGCGTGCTGATTATACTTATCTACTTTGTATGAGTTTGTTTAATTTACCTACAGCGTTTAATTAAAATGTTCATGTTTAATTTTTGTGGATTTAAGCAATTTAGATGTATATTTAAATTAATTAATTCAAGATGATAAATTATTTTGCAAAAATCAATTTTAAGATTTTGTAACGTTCATTATTTGCTCATAATTCAGTGGGAAGAAAAAAAACAAACAAAAAAAATTCATAACAATTTACGCTGGTCTTTTTCTTTGGATTTTAAGACACAACGAGCACTGTGATGCATCGACTTTCCAGGTTTACTGGTAAAGGAAGGCATCAGATGCCCACTTTGCTTTATTTAAAGCAGGAGTAATAAAGCAAGAGCTGGCACCCTAGTATACACCAACGCCGCAAAAAACAATTCAAAGTCCTTTGTCGCATTAGAACACAGAGTGGTGGGGGAAAGTAGTTTGAAGTAAACGACATTAACCATTTAGTCATGGTTTTAATACTGGAATAAAGCTGAATAAAAATAAATAAAAAAAACTATGTCTTGTACTTATATATGAAAAGACTATTCATTGATTCATGGACATCAGTCAGATCGGAAAGCCCTTCCGATGATCAAATCGTTAATATATCTTTGACATAGATATTCTTCGTAATTCAAGCTATTGAATAATAGGTTATGTTCATTCATGCATAATTTGAGAAAGATAACAATGAATATGATACGTTTAAACCTAATATTAAAATGAACACAATATATTGCAGATCTTATAAATGAACATCTGTTGCGCAATCGGGATCATGTTCTAAAAAGCTGCACTTTAGTAAGCCGAATATCAATAAAGAATGTAAACATCAAATTATTTACACACGTGTGTAATCGTCATACATCTTTTTCAAGAAGTGTTGGCCACCAACGAATGGTTTGAAAAAACTAAGTAATCAATAACACTGTATATTTGCACTAAAGGAAAAATTTAAAATGTAGTTGATAGCTTCAATTGTAATCAAAATTTAATTGCCGTCTAGTTGTCTAGTATCATCTTAATGATTGTTTATTTTTTGTGTAAACATATTTGAATTTATACACAATAATGAAATAAAGAATATGTATGTAAGATGCGGTACCTGTTACTTATGGAACTAGGCTAATGTAATATGTTTTATTTAATTTCGTTTTTAAAGTGTACTTTACTTAAAGTCGATTTTTGCATACTTTACTCCGGCAACAACGGCATACATAGATTTTACATCTCATATTCCATTATAATGAAATATTATGTATATTATGGTGCTATTTATAATATTAGTTAGTTTGATTTTTAGAAGGTTACATGACACTATAAATAAATGTTCGGAAATAATACCCGAGCCGCTTGGCGTATAAGCTGAAAAGCTATGTGACAAACGTGCAGCATTATAATATTCGTAACATTAATTAATCGATCGAAATCTTGAAAGGATGTCTGTTTGAATTGGTTTTTTTTATAAACAAAAATCCTGTAATAGTATAAACTTAATAAATAAAAACGTTAATCATAAGCTTATCAAATTGAATAATGTATGTTGTTCATATTTTCAAATATTTTGTACTCTTTAATATGAAAAAAAAATGAAATTACAATAAGTCAATATTTCTTCCTATTGATATCAAGTGTATTTATCGGACATAACATAGGGCAGTATCCTCAAATATTTATTCAATTACGGGAAAAGATTGTAAGAAAAAAGCACCGTAATGGGCATTTCGAAGTGTTAGTAAACTTGCTTATATTGGTTTTTCCACTCGAGTGAGCAGCCGTAGCTGACAGTGAACGCATGTGTTGATATCTTGAACATTTTCATATCACCCCCGTGATGGACGTCACGCGGGTTCAGTGACACAAACATCAAAAACAGAGTAGTATAACGAGTTTTATTTGGTAAATATGAAACGCGTGATTCCGCTTTAAGCACTCGTATTTAACTGAATGAAACCTAAGAATAATTGAATAAAGCATTGCGCCTTATGTCGTTGAACTGGATGAAAAAGGATAGCATAACAAGTGTAGTACTTTTTATAAATAATACCATATGTTTACAACTCTACTTAAAGAACATCAAAATACTACTTCCTTGCTCATCATGCTTAAGTATCTAAATTGTGCGCTTATACATTATAAAAATATCTTTATCACGATTCTATAAGGTATGCCATTAAGTCCAAAGTGCATTTTATTTGACCGCAGAAATGCTAGTTTATATCGTTTTAAAAGCAAGTAAAGATCATCTTCAAAAGCTCTGAAATACTTCATCCTGTATTTGAAGAGGTTGAAATATTCTTACCAACAACATTTAGTCAATATGGTGGTTTTTACAAATGCATTTGTATGAAAGCGATGCAGTTTCAAAATATTCAATTAAAAGTGTTTCTATAGTCAACTAACTCTCTGAAACAATTCAACCTGTTATGAAAGAGGTGCCGTATTTTTAGGCTTTCGGGAAATCATGTTATCAAATCCATTTAATTTGAAATGAGCCTTATAACAAAAATATGTCCAGTGAAGAGAAGATATTTATATAAAAAAGCGAAAAAAATTGGAAATAGGGGTTGTCAACGCTGTTCAAATGGGTCATTTCGGCTTCCCTAATATACACTATATCCAAATAAATTACTTAAAACAAAAGGTTCTTTTTATAATTCATTCTTCTGAAGCTTGATTTTTTATATTTTTTGAAAAAAAAAAAAAGATATATATTTTACTCCCACTTCGTGATGCGTCTTTAAATGTATTGTTTCCGATGTTAAATCCAACATAGCAGAGAAAACGTCATTCCATTTTCCGTAGGGCGGATTTGTTACAATATAAGTATACTTATTTCAATGATATTTTATAAGGTTTTTATATATTTCTATTAATTGGACAATAATTGACTGCACAATTATTCTCATTCAAGCAAATAGGTCTTTATTATAATAAGTTATACATGAACATTTTCGTTTTAAATGTTTACTTACATATGCTATCATTGGCAGGTTCCATGCAGCCGCTATGTTAGACTCGCAATGACAAGAAACGTCCGGACCTATAAACCCAACGGTGTTATTCCTATGGTGTTCTGTCATGGCATTAATTGCATTTAATGAATTCATTCTTGTATCATTATATAAGAACTCTAGCCTATATCCCTCCAATAAAGTCGAATTATTGTTTACATATTCCAGTGCTATAAAATAAGCCCCGGCAAATAATTTAGCATGTCCGCTGGTTGAGCCAAGAAATGATAATTTTAGTGGTATCCTATTATCACACTGCATATATTTTAGATTTAATAGTAAAATGCTAAGTAATAAACTTAGTTGCTGATATTTTTGTTTTCTCGCCATTTTAAAAATCCAATTTTTAATGAATATTTTATTATATTTCCAACTCCGTGTGAATCAAATATGTATGCTATGAGGAAGCATTGAACAGATTTAATTAATATCCATCAGCAATAGAGAAAAAAACTCGCATCTGATCCTGGAGCGAATGGTAATGTCGAACGTAAAAACCATTTTATAAAACACTAGCAGATTTGTCCTAAAAATTTTCTTTTAATCTTATCTGCTATTTAGTGAAATAGTAATGCTTCTTTCCAACTTAATGTCTTGTGAGATATTTGTTACTTTATTCCATCTCCATCGTTCGATCATACTAAAAGGTTTGAAGAATTTTATTCTTGTGCGTGTTATTTTCTCTTATCTCTAAAATACATTTTTCATAATATGTCTTTGTCACAGCGGGAACCGTTGTCACATGATAAATTAGGACACGTGACCTAAATAAGGTGTCGATATTGTAACCCATACGTATCCAATTAGTTATAGTATACATTTATTAGTCGACATATCATTGTTAAGTTCCATTTAATTTTTCAAGCGTTTTTCCTGTTAAATGCAATGCCTAAACAAGAACGAATGGTACTTAAAAATTGGTTCGGTATATTAAACAAATAACCATCCTGAAAAATATTTAAGACATAGTTAAATTAAACTTAATGCACGATTAAGGTGGTTGCAGTTTTTCACCAAGTATAAAATATAGTAGTAAAACACGTATCGGTTTATACAGTGAAATATTCTCTACTGCCGCTCGAGGGCCAGCAGACAATGTTTAAATACAATAAACGGCCAATCGAAAATTGTTTACTCTTAGCGGTAGCGGAAGAGTGTTCATATTTGAATAATTGAGACTTTATTTGCTCTTTGGTTAACACCGCGTTGAGGGGTTTTAAAGCTACACTGCCTTTACGTTTTAAGAATTGAACATAATACAAAAACGTCCCGTTATTGCGGTTACCTATATTGCAATTAACGCTCTTAAAATTTGATTTAAACTCAATATAATAATATGTTAAAATCAAACATCGATTTTTTTTCTTACACAGTACCCGACAAAGGACACTATCGTTGTATTTTCATTTAACAGTTTGATCACTTAAAGTGCTTTTGAATTTGATAGTGCCATATTTTTAAATTTATTTCAAACTGTTTAACCAATGTTTATAACTTTGGTAAGTCATAACTGCATTGAAATAGACAACACATCTCTTATAGTTTTTAAATTTGCAAATCAATATTTAAGACCTTTCTTAAATGCAATGCAACAATGATCTAGAAAGAAATTAGCTATATTAACATATAATGTTAAACAGTTTGTCTGTCATAGCAGAGTGTGAATGTGAGGAGTTACCAGGTCAAAATGTAAAACAATCTAGAAAGGCACGAATCCTTGAGAACAGTAAAAATATAGATATAAACTATTTGAATATCGCTGGCTCGGTTTAAGTGAGTCTGTTCATGAGTAATAATAAGATGTGCAACAACTCTTACACTCCCTAGCACCGGGTTAAGTGGATTTTAATCATAAATATCGAAATCGATCATCCAAACAAGACCAGAAAGTATGAGACATAACATGACTTTGTCAATGGTTTCATTTTTGCTTTAGGTTCCAAATAATTTGTTTGTTTGTTTGTTCCATTTCACGCCTTTTCCCAACAGTATTTCAGTCATATAGGCGGGTAGTTTTCTAACCATCGTCCCAGGAGAGTTACACCAGTACTAGACTACCTTCCTCCGTGCTATACTACCAAAGCATCACCCGGGTATCGAACCCACGCCAGAGAGGTAACTGGATTAAAAGTCATCGACTCTAACCCATCGACCACGGAGGCGGGATAGGTTCGAAATAAAAAATTAAACTAAATGCGCCGAAAACTAGATGAATTTCCAATGTATTTTATCATTAAAACTAATGATAATTGTTTAAACCATTTACATTGCATGCATGTAATTTTATGAACAGTTTTGTAATAAACATTTTAATATCTTATTAACAGTTCTAATTTTTTAATGTTTTTCTTTGATACAGTTATAACTAATTTGCTGTTACCTACTATCTAAAATCGGTTAAAAACCCTACAATAAATATTTACTTTAGGACAGTGTCAACGATTAAAAAACTATATACCTTGACCATATTTATGTTATTTTGTGGGAATTGGCTATAAACTTCAAGGTCAGGCTTACGTTCAAAGTCGGAATGTTTTAAGTGCACTTTAAGATATTTACTTCGTAAACAATTCTTCTGATTTCTTTTGTAAGAATTTAATTTAACATAAAAATTGTTCAAATAAAGAGAAAGTTTGTGAGAAATATACAGTATTTACAGCTTTAACTTTTTCACGGATTTCTTTAGGTTAATGATCGATTTTTTTTCTTTTTAGATAATATATTTATTTTACAAATTTTTTAATAATCATTCGAAATAATTTCCTAAAATTTTAAAAAGAACAAAAACAAAATATTTAAAAACATAAAATACTCGTAGCCCCTTTTATAAGGAAAAATTCTGACTTTCCCCTTTTTGGTTTGTTGGTTTAGGCCCCTTTCTTAAAAATTTTTAAATTATAATAAACAAAAAATGCAAATAGGGGTTTTTCCCCTTTTTTTAAATTTTTTTATTTGAAATTTAAAAGGGGAGGGGTTCATCTGTAAAGTAAAAATAAATTTGGCCCAAAAATTTGGGGCTTTTAAATTTACAAAAAATTTTTCCCATTCTATTTGTTTTTAATTTGGGGAATTTATTTCTCTTGTATATTTTAAGCCTTAGATAAAAAAAAGGGGGGAATTTGATTTTTTAATTAAAATGCGGAAAAAAATTTCCAAAAGAATTATTTTTTAAAGTGAAAAAAAAGATAAAAATTTTTGTGAAAGTTTCTATAACAATTTAAAAACAGTAAAATGATGTTGTTTGATATGTAAAATATACTGACAAATTTCTTTTATTCTACGAACAGCTCAATTAGGATAATAAGAGGTTGGCGCGATATTACAGCGCAAAACCTTTATCATATTGTATGAGTTAAGGTTTTAAGGCCTCAACAGACGGTAGGATTTAGTTGTACAACACTAATTACAGATAAGATGTACAATTTTCAAAGCAATACAACACTTGCAATCAGACGGTAATTCTGCATTGTAGGAATCATCTCAGGTTTCCTTAAAAAAAAGTTCCCTCCCAATTGATCCCTTACATACTTTACTCACTAAATTTTTTTTTTCCATGAGCACCTCCATTTTTAAAAAAAAAATGTTATTTCTTTTTTTAAAGTGCAGCCTGACCGAGACTCAAACCTGGGACCCTCGAAATACCGTACTGCAGCTCTACTGACTAAGCTATCCGGCCGCCTTCAAACTACCTCCCCTCCCCTAATTAGAGAACAGTTCAATACCGTCACATAATCATTTTCGGAATAATTTGGGATTCGAACCTAACAAAACTTTCGGTCTCCTGAAGAGTTTTTCAACATCATTTTTACCCCATCTTACTACTATGTTTACCTTTTAGCCCTAATTGTTCTGGAATTTCATTCATTATCCCCATTATCGGGGGATAATTTGGTAATTTGTTATTCTGTTACTTGTCATTGTGGAGGTCTGTAGAAATCTGTACGACAAGATTTTCAAAATAGAACATGTCCTATCCTTACATCTAGGCTGGAACATACGATACGTTATAGTACATCCTTCTAGACTTAAGGTTCCTGAATTCAAGAAATAGTAGCCTTCACACATGAAGATTTGCCTGTACATCTTAGTTTTAATTGATGTTGTCTTCAAAATCCTACCGTCTGTTGAGGTACTAGTCAACACAGTTTTTAATTTTAATATATGATTTTCAAACCAGTTTTGACTCAAGATGAATTACAGTGCAGCGATTGTATATTTATGTAAATCTCTTGCAAACTGTTCTAATAATGATGATAACAATTCAACAAAAATCTTCAGAAATATTGCATTACACTTTTAAACATACCAAGTCGAATTTTATTATATTAGCAGTTGGAATTCTAAACAATGACGTCAATTCTACATTCAAACGGTATGTTAATAAAACGTTGTTTATAGGTTCAGAATGTCTCGCATAATTGAATTATATCCTCGGGGAACAGCGATGTTAAACAAAATGTATGCATATTTTGTCTATCACCTAAAAATAGAAACATTAATTCATATATTTGCATCATGTGGTGATACAGAGGATTTAAAATTCAATGGAGGAAAAGAAACTGTTAAAATTACAAATATGATGTTAAAATTTGCCTTGTCATTATTGCAAATGGTAATTGGTAAGATAAAACACATTTTTTAGTTATAAGGTCGCTCAGTAAACATGTCTGACCAGTGAACATATCCAGAAGGAAATTTAATTAAGCAATTAAAAAAATTATTTTGTCAATGAAATATGCATTAGAATTTCGGGAGGGGAACACTTTCTCTATTTCAGATAATATTGTAAAATAACCTCATCAATTGCACATAGCGCGTTAATGATTACATCTCGAAAGAAGAATAGCAATGTCTAACACAATATTAAATGTCACAAAAACATATTTTTCTCAGCAAATCTAATTATATGCATGCATATGGAATGTATTTAATTAGTATTCTGTCTAAAGTAATTCTAACAAACTCCTGATTTTTTACAAAAAAGGATATTATCTCAAGAATCAAGAATAACCTACAGATAAATAACAATATATATCCATCCGAATGTAATACTCTTTAAATTAACGCAAGATCAAACTAAAGTAAAATAATGATTGTTTATAATTAATTTTGAATAAATTCTGACTCTAGATTCTATACTTTCAGTTAATATATTCCCTGAAATTTAGAATTTTATTGAGTAATTATGTACTTGGGGCATTATAAAAAGGTGCAATAAACCTCACGACCCCTAGCACCGGTTTGAGCGGTACTGAAATATCAACACATAAAAGTGCTGAAATCAATGATCCCGAAGGACAAAAAAAATATAACACCACTGAAGTGAAGAACGAGGCAACGTTTTACAGGTGCCACATAACACTTGACACCTGCTGTTGTGAAGTATAAAGTGAAAGAGTGATACCTCGGAGGCATTTATCCCAACAAAAATACATGAATTACGAAGGCGTGTCTGAATCATGAACGTTTCATCTTCTCGCAAAAATATACGGCTAAGTTTTCGTTTTTATAAGGTTATAGTTTCAAAATCGCCTGTGCAATGGTCATGAGGTCTATGAGTATCAAATACTCAAAGCTATTACTGGTAATAAGTTATAGATAAATGCATATTTAAGTTGTTTGAACAATCAGCGTGTGAATTAAAGTACTGTCATATTTCATGCCGTTTTTCTATGTAAAGTATGTATTAAAGCGTCTCATCGATGTTTCTAAACGTAATATTCTTCTCTTTGCCTAAGCTCAGCAGTTGTGCTACGGGATATTTGTCAAATCCCATAAATATCATATTTTTCATTGTCAATATAAACTTTCTTGGTAAAATGAGAACAGTTCAATACCGTGACATAATCATTTTCGGAATAATTTGGGATTCGAACCTAACAAAACTTTCGGTCTCCTGAAGAGTTTTTCAACATCATTTTTACCCCATCTTACTACTATGTTTACCTTTTAGCCCTAATTGTTCTGGAATTTCATTCATTATCCCCATTATCGGGGGATAATTTGGTAATTTGTTACTTCATGTACTTGTCATT